CGCCCCAAACCGTAATTTAAACACATATAATAACAGATCATATACACGCATGGTGCCTTGACTTACTGCTAACTTTAATAGGCCATCCCTGAATAAAATAGTTCCCCCCCCCCAGTTGTACAAGGCGGATCCGGAGCAAAAAGCATCGTTTTTCCGTCCATTTTACGCTTGAAAAACTCGACCCTTTTCTGCACACTTTCTAGACGCTCACCAATTAATTAATTTTAATGAATTTTTAGTCGTTTTTCCGTCCAATGACCATATACGGAAAAAAACGACGTTTTCGTGTTTGCAGTGCAAAGTCCTGCGGAATATCTGTCCATATGTTTCGATGAGGTACAGTTTCTACCAATAACTCGGGGAAACCCTTACACAGACAAATACTGTCTGTCATGTTCTATAGTTCTAATTCTATCATGTTAAAGATGTGTGAGTGAGGACCACAAATATAGAAGATACACTCCACGGTTTGGGTGTTTTAAGGATTTAAAGTATGCTTCTTTAGAAAAATAATGTTGAGATTTTTTCAGAGACATTTCTTCATCTGAGTGAAATAGGAGACGGGGAGATCTAAGCACACGATCTTCCAAGAGTAGACCTTGCTCATGTCACTGTTGAGGATTACAGTCCGTTTGATTCCGTCTGAGACCGATGAATTGCACACTAACTCAAAATCTAATAATTGCAACAAAACCAAAATGTGCACAGCGACATGAATTGGACAGACCAACTCTGATGGTTTGTCTCATAATTTTGGACACCCGAATAAAACAATTGTTTAACACACGATCATCATATTGTTGACATTTGCAATTTGTAGCAATTATTAGATTTTGAGTTAGTGAGCAATTCATCAGTCTCAAATGGAATCAAACGGCTGTAACTGAAACGTATTCTTGCTGAACTGAGTCTTTTATTCAACTCGCTTCAGTCTTCAAGTAAACAAATCTTGCAAACTTCTCCTGTTATTATTCCTGCTTGCTTCGAATTCGAATAAGGCGAGTATTCTTCCGGTATTTGTTTAGTCAAAAACGTTTTCCCAGAACGAGTTCCTCCTGTGATAGATATTGCAGTTGGGTGTGAGAAAGGAAGCAGGCACTTGCAATTCCTGTTAGTGACTCTGTAGATGGAGAGTGAATGACTCAAATTGGATATCCCCCTCATATTTAAGCTGATCTTGTCACATGCCGACCATATCGTCGACAAGCTAAAAACGCGTTATGTTGACGTCGAGATTGTTGAATCTGGCGTCCTCTTGCTTCACCTGTTACACGTGTTCGTATTTAAATGTAAATGGAATTTACTGAGTTTGAGAAGACGACGTTAAAATACATGATCTGTGCCGGAGGGGCGAGAGATGCGTCGTACAATCCTCAGACAGTCGTTACGGTTAAACGTCCATTTAGTGAGGTGAGGTGAAATGGGGTTTAACGTCGCGTCCAAGATTATTGCACTTATATAGCGACGTGCATGCACGTGTGTGTATGTGGCTACTTGTACTAGTCCGGACTGATGCCGATGTATAGTGCTAGCACACTGAGATACCATGCCGCAGTTTAACATGAATACCCCACTCAGACACAGTATACTGACTCCGAGCCGACCAGTCCTTGTTTTAACCCCGTAATGCCGAGCGCCAGACAGGGTAACAACAAGTACCATCTTTTAACGTCTTTTGGTATGACGCGGTCGGGGATCGAACCCAGTACCTTCCACTCTCCGGACGGACGCTCTACCACGAGACCACGGAGGCGGTCCGTCCGTGTAGTAGACAGCCTTAGCTTGACCACTTTACATGCGTCTTATATCACTTCATAATCTATTTGTAAGATGTCTTTTCTCAAAAATGAGTAATAAGTTAACATGACCTTTCTTCTTCAGTGTGGGGGCACGGGTGGCCCAGTCCTCTAAGGCGACGCGGTTCGCTGTGCAAAGTTGCTTCCCTTTGGCACGCCAGAAACCTATGATTGAATTGATTGTGGGTTCGAATCCCGGTTCGCCCCGATCATGTTTCTAGGTTTGTCAGCACCATACCCGTGCTCGTGGGTTTCACTGAAGTGGTAAACGTCTGAGACCTGCATCACCTCGGGCTTTCCTCACTTATAAAGCTGACACGCCGTGATATAACTGGAATATTGTTAAAAGCAGCGTCACTCACTCACCCTTCTTTAATGTTCATACATGTAACAAAATGAAAACAAGAGCTCAATATCAAGTTTAAATATATTTACTTTGTTCTTCATTTCGCTGCCTCTGCTGTGTCCACTAAGTCCTGAGCTTGATATGTCACTTCAATCGTTGTATTATCTTTGACACACAATGGGAATCATATTTGCACAATGCTGAACTAAAAGAGAGTTCTTAATATCAAAGTTATGGCAGCACTTTCATAGAGACATTGTCGTTGATTCCCACAGGCAACAAATACCTGAGTATTATTTAAATACACTAGATACTTAGAAGACAACAAAAGTCATTTTAAACATTTTGCTACAGGAACATCAACATGCGGGGGATATTTCCTTGTCACCCACAATCTTTTAATCTAGACTAAAATACTTATCATTCCATAATTTCAAATTATGAGTAGGTAACTGATGTTACAGCTCATCGGGTGTTCCAAGGCCGTTGTGACCGCACATGTTCTGCTTTTAACTACATTTTAGATCTGATGATCGATCGGTGTAACAATCTTAATGTTCTTATAAACTGAGGGTCAAAACAAACGAGGCTGTACATCTCAGTTGATGTAATCATGTTTCATTTTCTCATGAAGTATCTGAAATATGTTTGTCCAAAAGTGAACTGTACTGGCTTTTAGTCAGCATTCTAAAATATTTCGATAGGGTTTTACTTTTTATATATATAATCATATCTAAAACTTTTAAATACACTGGATTTAGAGTGTTAATGTGTTGTGTATAGTCTAGTTTGCATTACCGCCATAAAGTACTGTTCTTGCTGTGCCCCTCGAGTGATATTACAGAAGCATGTTTCAGCGTTAATCATCACTCACGAAGTTCAGGTGAGCTAACTGATTTTATTTCCCATCTTGACTTTTCACTTTGTCAACCGTTTAAACAAAATACAGATTTATAAACAGAACATTGGATTTCCATACGTATCCTCAGAAGGGGATTCCGGGTTAGAATGAATCTTCAGGAACCTTTGCTGGTCGTATGAAACGACGACATTGATCAGGTGGTCGGTGATTGATAGCGTGTGGACCGTTGTTCACACGCACGCACACGCACACACACGCACGCACACACACACGCGCACGCACGCACACACGCACACACACACGCACGCACACACACACCTGTCACTGCTACTGGTACTGTTAATTGGTACCTGGTACTGCTATTCATGTAAGTACGGTTGGGATAAAGCCGCTTTAACATTATTCCAGTTACATCACAGCGTGTCAGCTTGATGTGGGAGGCAAGCCCGAAGTGATGCAGGTCTTGGACGTTTACCACTTTGATGAAATCCACGAGTAAGGGTATGGTGCTGGCAAACCTAGAAACATAATCAGGGCAGATCAGGATTCGAACCCACAATCACAGTTTCCTGACACACCTGAGGGACTCAACCCTGGATAGCGATCTGCGCCGCTTTAGACAACTGGGTCACCCGTGAGCCCATTCAGTATCGTATAAACACATGTTTATTGTGTTGCTATGTTGAGTCTCGTAGTTCGTGTTTAGATAGCGATTATTTTATATCCGGGTCAATGACGGTCGTATAACGGTTATGGGCCGGGAACGCCATATTTGAATACCACATAGTCGAGGGATTCTGCTGTTGGTACCACGAGCGCCACATTGATGGACTAGCCGTGAATGCGGTGAACCGTGATATAAACGATAGAAGAAATACGCTTTTTGATATAAACGAATTATTCAGAAACAGTACAAATACATAAAATGCATCAAATGAAAATACAATTAATTTAAACAGATCATGATATTAACAATTTACAGCTTATTGGCAGTGAGTCTACGCCTCGAAGTGCATATTTTTACAGATAAAAGCGCTTATGAGAAGATGAAAACATTTCAAGGTCAAGGCTATCTTACTAAATAGTTAAAGATAAACTCAATGATATCCAGTTGCAATCCTGGATAGCTGTAAGAGGTAAACCTTCCGAAGGATCAATGTTTAGAATTGTAAACAAAACCTACCAGGTTTAAGAGCAACCTTTGAAGTCCCGCCAACAACTCCTCAGATCAATATTAAATTCAATCAATTGAATACAAAATTCAATACAGTAAATAGGGCTTTAAATCAAACAGGATTATTCAGCGCTTAGGACGAGATTGCATACCAACAACGCCATAACACTTCATCACCGCCTTCCACATGTATACTTTTATGGAATCCTGGAAGGGACATTGTCGCGTTATCGTCCTTACAAAATCAAGCAAACGATGACACAATTACCCCAAGCGCGACATCGCGACCATGCCAGTTTGACCAAATGTCACGTAGTCGCATTGTCGCGCATCGCCTTGAATATTATTTCAGTTTTGTTACCAAAGGTGGACAATTCGACAGCGCGACAATGTCCCTTGTAGAACTCCATAGATTGATCGACCCCCACCTCCACCCCCGCCCCCCTTTATTGCAGGTCGTCACCGATAACCTGCTAAGTATAGGTGAGGCATACGTGCTCGACTGTTATAAACCTTTTGAGTTGACTAGCCACACACTGCTGGTCTGCCTTCAATGTAGAGGTAAGTTCAGTTTGGTAGCATTTACGAGTTATTATGTGTACATGGGATTTGTAGCAGGATGACTCGGTGTACATGGGATTTGTAGCAGGATGACTCGGTGTACATGGGGTTTGTAGCAGGATCACTCGGTGTACAGGGGGGTTGGGGGTTTGTAGCAGGATCACTCGGTGTACATGGGGTTTATAGCAGGATCACTCGGTGTACAGGGGGGGTTGGGGTTTGTAGCAGGAAGACTCGGCGTACAGGGGGTTGGGGGTTTGTAGCAGGATCACTCGGTGTACATGGGGTTTGTAGCAGGATCACTCGGTGTACAGGGGGGTTTGGGGTTTGTAGCAGGATGACTCGGTGTACATGGGGTTTGTAGCAGGATCACTCGAGGTACAGGGGGTTTGTAGCAGGATGACTCGGTGTACATGGGGTTTGTAGCAGGATCACTCAGTGTACATTGGGTTTGTAGCAGGATCACTCGGTGTACAGGGGGGTTTGGGGTTTGTAGCAGGATCACTCAGTGTACATAGGGTTTGTAGCAGGATCACTCGGTGTACGTGGGGTTTGTAGCAGGATCACTCGGTGTACATGGGGTTTGTAGCAGGATGACTCGGTGTACAGGGGGGTTTGGGGTTTGTAGCAGGATGACTCAGTGTACATGGGGTTTGTGGCAGGATAACTCGGTGTACATGGGGTTTGTAGCAGGATCACTCGGTGTACATGGGGTTTGTAGCAGGATCACTCGGTGTACGTGGGGTTTGTAGCAGGATCACTCGGTGTACATGGGGTTTGTAGTAGGATCACTCAGTGTACATGGGGTTTGTAGCAGGATCACTCGGTGTACATTGGGTTTGTAGCAGGATCACTCGGTGTACAGGGGGGTTTGGGGTTTGTAGCAGGATCACTCGGTGTACATGGGGTTCGTAGCAGGATGACTCGGTGTACATGGGGTTTGTAGCAGGATCACTCGAAGTACATGGGGTTTGTAGCAGGATCACTCGGTGTACATTGGGTTTGTAGCAGGATCACTCGGTGTACATGGGGTTTGTAGCAGGATCACTCAGTGTACATGGGGTTTGTAGCAGGATCACTCGGTGTACGTGGGGTTTGTAGCAGGATCACTCGGTGTACATGGAGTTTGTAGCAGGATCACTCAGTGAACATGGGGTTTGTAACAGGATCACTCGGTGTACATGGGGTTTGTAGCAGGATCACTCGGTGTACGGGGGGTTTGGGGTTTGTAGCAGGATAACTCGGTGTACATGGGGTTTGTAGCAGGATCACTCGGTGTACATGGGGTTTGTAGCAGGATCACTCAGTGTACATGGGGTTTGTAGCAGGATCACTCAGTGTACATGGGGTTTGTAGCAGGATCACTCGGTGTACATGGGGTTTGTAGCAGGATCACTCAGTGTACATAGAGTTTCACGCGTCCAGCGTTAGGTTTCATTGCACGAGCCGGAGGCGATTGGTATAAAACCTTTCGATGAACGCATAAAACCCCATGTACGGCGAGTGATCCTGCTGCAAACCCCAGCCTCGCCCAGGGTGTTTGAAGGTCACAGACCGACCGGCAGTAACCAGGACAGGGCAAGATCCGGCAGACCACGTGTGATGACGCCACAGGATTACCTATACATGTACTTGCGCACTTTGCATTTTCCCAACGTGCAGCAACAGCGTCAGAACGCCATATCAATCTCCGTGTCGCAGGTATTCGAGCCTACCGCCCCTTCCGTTGAATGGCCGTGACCCATGAACATCACCGTCATAGACGAATTTGGACAAGGACAGTACAACAGTACTGGCATATCTGTGACTGGCAGAGAGTGCTTTTGGCTGTGGGAAACGATTAGCGTTTCAATCAGGAAGTGAGTCCATATGGTGGCGGTGGGGTGATGGCTAAGGAGGAACTTCTGGCAACCAACGGATGGGATATATCTTCATCCATTGCAACCGTAATAAACCTCAAGTCACTTTGAGATTTTATAGAATATGTATAAATAAAAATAACTTTCAGCTCCAGCGAGCCTCTTCAGGTCATAGAGATAACAGCGTATCAGAGCTGAAAAAGCTCGTCTATAAAAGGAATAATCTACTCCGTAGTTTTGATCTATACACTGCCTGAGAGCTGTAGCCAGGTTCCCTTGTAGCATCAAGCACCATTACAAGACTGTGGGACGTTATCAGACACTTGGGACAACACGTGACCTTCCCAGTTCCGGTCGATCACGTATCACTACTATAACTACGGCAATACCAGGATTGCGTAGAACATCAGCCTAGATAGTGAGGAACCGTTTACGCGCTGACGGTATTCGCGCTAGTCGACCATTTAGAGTTGACATTTTGGCGGACCTGCATCGTCGGCTGCGATGTCAATGGTGTCAAGGTCACAGAGAATGACCACAACTGCGATGATGACAAGTTTGGTGACGAGTCACGTTTAATGCTTCGCCGTGTGGATGGTAGACGTCGTTTTTACAGGCCTCGCGGGGAACGAAACTGCATACAGGAAGTGGACAGATTTGGTGGTTGCAGAGTGATGATGTGTATCCCCTACACTGGTAGAACAGTTCTGGGAAATTGGCACAATGTTACACGGATGAGATTATTCGGCCACATGTCCTTCACATTATGCAACAAGCAGAGGTCATTTTCCAACAAGACAACGCCCGACCTCACACGGCAAGATTAACAACAGACCTTTTCAGGAATCACAACTTCCAGTCCTGCCATGTCATGTCATGTCTAGGTCTCCAGATGTCATGTCTAGGTCTCCAGATGTCATGTCTAGGTCTCCAGATGTCATGTCTAGGTCTCCAGATGTCATGTCTAGGTCTCCTGATGACATGTCTAGGTCTCCAGATGCCATGTCTAGGTCTCCAGATGTCATGTCTAGGTCTCCAGATGCCATGTCTAGGTCTCCTGATGACATGTCTAGGTCTCCAGATGCCATGTCTAGGTCTCCAGATGTCATGTCTAGGTCTCCAGATGTCATGTCTAGGTCTCCAGATGTCATGTCTAGGTCTCCAGATGCCATGTCTAGGTCTCCAGATGCCATGTCTAGGTCTCCAGATTTTGAACTCAACGGAACAGGGATGCACTGTATCAACGACTGCGATCACGTCAGCAACAACCAAAGAACCTCCGACAGTTGGCACAAGCACTGCAGGCAGAATGGGTGAACATTATCCAGGCCACATTTCGGATCTGATCGCTTCCATGGGACGACGATGCAATTCAGTTTTGGACTCTATTGGTGGCCATACAGATATTGAGAACAGATGACCTTCACCTTCTACTGTCCCATGTGTGTGGAACCTGGGTCAGTGAGAATGATGTCTGCAAATTTAGTACAATCGATTACCATCTGCTGATATTTATATGATATGTAAGATATACATGTACATCTACACATCACTTTTGCGAGTGTTTTTTGCAGAGTATATATTCAGATTTATTACATAAATGGAAATACATTTTGCAGACAATCTGCAAGCACCACAGGTGAAAATTCAAATTCCAACTGTGACCAATCTGCCATGGCCGGTGAAGATAAACTTGCAGATTATCGGGAAGGAGGTGATAAGGTACCTTTTGTATATTTAATAACGCCTATGGCCGTGATCCTGTCCACACATCACGACTGGGAACATCTGGAAGTGAAGTGAAAACATCAACTTTCCGTTGTTTGTCTGTCAGTTTCAGACTGTTCCAGAGAGGGGACACTTCAGCCTTCAGCTACATATTAAAACTGAGGGGGACCTGGACTATTGTCTCCTGAGTGGCGTAGTTTACATAGTTGCGTCCTTACGGCGTGGATTCTAGCATCAGGGGTTTCAGGCTCAGGTTCGCTCTGATTGTTATCCCTTGTTTGTCAATATCATACCAAAGTGATACAAATCAGAGACCTATCTGTCCGACAGTTATATAATTGACATACATTTAATAACAGCGGTAAATCAAAATCACTTTGGGTTTTGTTACATTACACCCACACGTCTTAATTATGGATAGGTGGCATAATATTTGAAAGGAAGTGAATTACAGGAATAATAAGTACTTATCTGTCCACTTGGTGATTACAAGTGATAATTCATAGCTCCACTATCGTGCTGTTCGTCTGGTTTCATCCTAATGGACTCCATTTATTGGTGTAGACACGGACCCCATCCCCATGTACATACAGACCATTAGCCCCATCGGAGAGAGATCCTGGCCCCTCCTATTCAATGTCAAGGTCACAGCGCCTAACCCGCTCGGTGAGTGAGGATAGAGATTGAGGTACGTGGGGATTTCAGTGAAATTGTTCCAACAGTGGAGCACTGAGTAAAAGAATGAATGGATTCAAGCCCGAGTCCGCAACCATGACCTTCACATGTTCGACTGACCAGACACACTAATGGTGTGTTGTATGAGCATCAACCCACGCTGGTAGGAACGATGTCAGGTCAGCGCACACGTTGTAACACATGACTCCCTGATCCTTACGATCATATTGTACTTGTGAATCACGCTTCAGTGAATCACCATTGGAGTCTTGGCGGGATTCAAGGAGCCAGTAGCCAGGAATCAACACGGGGAGACAATCATGGCCTCTGTCAGGTCAGGTTTCTTCACTGGTAGACGCTAATGGTACACTGGGTATCCTCCAGACAGTGGGGCTTATTTTGTTCTTGGAAACCAACGGGAAGACGAACACAGGAATAACAAAGCCAACACTCCTTAATGTTAAAATGTGGTATTAATAGTTTAGCTAAAAGTATACTAATATTATTTTCACCTGTAATCTCCAACAGGAGAACAAAGAGACTTGCGTAATTACAGGAACAATGTACAACTATCGTGCTGCTTCATTTCTGTTTCATCCTAATTGACCCCATTTATTGATAGGACGCCATGCCAGGCCCTAGTGCATACTCACCAGCAGCCCCATCGCAGAGACCCTGGCCCCTCCCACTCACTCGGGTCAAGACCGCGTGATTTATCCGTGTGGGTGAGTGAGTATGGGAATGGTGTATGTGAGTAAATGAATAGATCCATGCCCGAGTTCGCACCATTATTTACCACTTCGACCATCACATTTTCGATTGATGAAACAAGTGGTTTGTATAATGAGCGACGATCCACGCTTGTAGGGTACGATGTCAGGTCAGCTCATACATTATAACACATGGACTCCCTGATCCCTTACTACCCTATTGTACTTGAGAATCATTCATCGCAATGGGAGGCAATTTGCTGAATTAAGGGAGCCCATTTTAGCGTGGAATCAGCAGAGGGAGACAACCACGGGCTCTTTCTGGTCCGGATTCGCCACTGGTAAGCGCTAATAAAACATTCTGTTCATCCTGCTCGGAAATACCAACAGAAACCAATCGTAGGCTGGTGAGGTTTTTTCTGCTCATGAATACCAATAGGAAACAATCGTGGGCTGAAGGGGTTCATTCTACTCAGGAATACCAATAGGAAACAATCGTAGGCTGAAGGGGTTCATTCTACTCAGGAATACCAATAGGAAACAATCGTAGGCTGAAGGGGTTCATTCTACTCAGGAATACCAATAGGAAACAATCGTAGGCTGAAGGGGTTCATTCTACTCAGGAATACCAATAGGAAACAACGTGGGCTGATTGGGTTCATTCTACTCAGGAATACCAATAGGAAAAAATCGTGGGCTGGTGAGAGGTTTATTCTGCTCAGGAATACCAAAAGGAAACAATCGTAGGCTGAAGGGGTTTATTTTGCCAGGAATACGTATAGGAAACAATTGTAGGTTGGTGGGGTTCATTCTACTCAGGAATACCAATAGGAAACAATCGTAGGCCGAAGGGGTTTATTCTGCTCAGGAATAACAGTAGGGAACAATCGTAGGTTAGTGGAGTTCATTCTACTCAGGAATACCAATAGGAAACAATTGTAGGCTGAAGGGGTTTATTTTGCCAGGAATACGTATAGGAAACAATTGTAGGTTGGTGGGGTTCATTCTACTCAGGAATACCAATAGGAAACAATTGTAGGCTGAAGGAGTTTATTCTGCTCAGAAATACCAATAGGATACAATTGTAGGCTGAAGGTGTTTATTCTGCCCAGGAATATTATTAGGAAACAATCGTAGGCTGAAGGGGTTTATTCCGCTCAGGAATACCAATAGGAAACAATCGTAGGCTGGTTGTATTTATTCTGTTCAGGAATACCAAAAGGAAACAATCGTAGGCTGGTTGTATTTATTCTGCTCATGAATACAAATAGGAAACAATCGTGGGCTGATGGGGCTCATTCTACTCAGGAATACCAATAGGAAACAATGGTAGGCTGGTTGTATTTATTCTGTTCAGGAATACCAATAGGAAACAATCGTAGGCTGGTTGTATTTATTCTGCTCATGAATACCAATAGGAAACAATCGTGGGCTGGTTGTATTTATTCTGTTCATGAATACCAATAGGAAACAATCGTAGGCTGGTTGTATTTATTTTGTTCAGGAATACCAATAGGAAACAATGGTAGGCTTGTTGTATTTATTCTGCTCAGGAATACCAATAGGAAACAATGGTAGGCTGGTTGTATTTATTCTGCTCAGGAAAACCAATAGGAAACAATCGTAGGCTGGTTGTATTTATTCTGCTCAGGAATACCAATAGGAAACAATCGTGGGCTGGTTGTATTTATTCTGTTCATGAATACCAATAGGAAACAATCGTAGGCTGGTTGTATTTATTTTGTTCAGGAATACCAATAGAAAACAATGGTAGGCTGGTTGTATTTATTCTGCTCAGGAATACCAATAGGAAACAATGGTAGGCTGGTTGTATTTATTCTGCTCAGGAATACCAACAGGAAACAATAGTAGGCTGGTTGTATTTATTCTGTTCATGAATACCAATAGGAAACAATCGTAGGCTGGTTGTATTTATTTTGTTCAGGAATACCAATAGGAAACAATCGTAGGCTTGTTGTATTTATTCTGCTCAGGAATACCAATAGGAAACAATCGTGGGCTGGTTGTATTTATTCTACTCAGGAATACCAATAGGAAACAATGGTAGGCTGGTTGTATTTATTCTGCTCAGGAATACCAATAGGAAACAATCGTAAGCTGGTTGTATTTATTCTGCTCAGGAATACCAATATAGGAAAGAATGGTAGGCTGGTTGTATTTATTCTGCTCAGGAATACCAATAGGAAACAATCGTAGGCTGGTTGTATTTATTCTGCTCAGGAATACCAATAGGAAACAATGGTAGGCTGGTTGTATTTATTCTGCTCAGGAATACCAATAGGAATACCGTAGGCTGATGGGGTTATTATACTCCGGGATCCTTCCAGGGAAACGGTCATTCGGTGGTGGGGACTTATTTTACCCCGAATCCCTACGGGCGAGAACCATGCGGTATTTGGAACCAATCTACTCCCATTATCCACTTGGGGGACGGTCATGGGAGACATGAACTGTTCTAGAATTCCTCAGGGAGATACTTTTGTCTCCTCACGGGCTCCAAAGGAGCCAGGCATGCTGCAGTGAGAACCTAATTTGCCCTGGAAATCTAACGAGAAACCATTTCGGGTCAGATCTCTGTAGGAAACAGGTAACATTTATCCCCCATCTAGATGCGAGCATACCTGTTCTAGTAATTGTCCTGAGTTCCTCTCTGTCACACAGAATATGTTGAAACCCTCCATTCCGTCCTTGTCTTTGGGACAATACCATCCTGGGCTTGTGATCCATGTGTGAAAAGCAGTGGGTTCACGCTTGGAGCTTTTTTTTCTTTGTTGTAAAATTATATTATACATTATCACTGGCGTTTTCAGTAATGTAAGGACCGCCTCCGTGGTCTAGTGGTAGAGCGTCCGCCCGGAGAGCGGAAGGTCCGCGGTTCGATCCCCGGCCGCGCCATACCTAAAGACGTTAAAAGATGGTACTTGTTGTTACCCTGTCTGGCGCTCGGCATTAAGAGGCTCAAACAAGGACTGGTCGGCTCGGAGTCAGTATACTGTGTCTGAGTGGGGTATTCCTGTTAAACTGCGGCATTGTATCTCAGTGTGCTAGCACTATAAATCGGCATCAGTCCGGACTAGTACAAGCAGCCACACATACACGTGCATGTACGTCGCTATATAAGTGCAATAATCTTTGACGCGACGTTAAACCCCATTTCACCTCACCTCACCTCACCTCACCTCACCTCACCTCACCTCACCTCACCAGTAATGTTTGAGTTAACCGTTAACATTTCGGTGGCGATGTGCTTCTGTATCTTTCTTGTTCTTCGTATTCAACGCACGCCTGGCCCTGGTTACAGACCACCATCGCCATCCTCGCTACATCCAGGACCCAAGTTCTCCATCACCTCAAGACACATGCCATCCCGCTTTGCCATCACAGTAAGTTATTTAAGGATGGACATTGTTGGACAACATTATGTAAACAAAACCAGTGTTGCCTATCCCAAACAAGGTGAAACTGACTTACATTTTTGTCACCTGATTCCGCAAACCCGATCTTTTCCACCAATCGTCAATTAGCGATAAACATACTGTGTTTTCAATGTGGAGATAGGCTACCTCTAGATTAAATTTAATTTAATTTGGAACCGAGCGCACAGTTTTCACAACTGTGCATTTTGTAACTGATACCTGTACATAATTTCAAAATGCTGACCGACAATGATTGAGGAAGTAGTATTTTATAAATATTAGCTTCCACTTTGATGCGGCCGAAAATTAGTTATTTCAATTGGAGATGGTTATTGATATTTGAAACCTCTGACTGACCAATCAGAATCGAAGAATTGACCATTTTCCAAATTAATGATGGAACATCGTGTAAAAAATGGCAGATAACTAAACAGTACATTGATTACTTTGAGATTTGTCAGGGATGATATGAAGATGCAGTATGCCTTCCCGAATCCGGAGGTTTACAATAGCAGGGCATTGACTTCTTAACACCACCCGCAATCTAAAAAGTACCATAATGTTTATTGACATTGTAAAATATAAAAAATGTTATCGGTGATTTCCTGAATGATTGTCATAGTTATGAGCTAGACATGACGTCACAATACCTCTCTCGGGCCAATCATTTCTCTTAAAACCCCAACGCTGTTCAAACCCAGACAAGCAATTATTTTGCTTTGAAGTGTAATGCATATTATTCAATGGACCGAAACCTATTGTTTCAATTCGTTTTCTTTATAGGTTGAAGAGGATTAAGAGATATTTCCAATGTGTGTGCAAACTTAGCAGAGTGGGTGAGTGAGTGGGTTGGGTTTAACGCCGCTTTAAACAGTATTCCAGTTATATCGCGGCGTGTCAGCTTTATAAGTGAGGAAAGCCCGAAGTGATGCAGGTCTCAGACGTTTACCACTTCGGTGAAACCGACGAGCACGGGAATGGTGCTTTCAAACCTAGAAACATAATCGAGGAGAACAGGGATTCGAACCCTTAATCATAGGCTTCTGGCGTGCTTGAGGGACCCAACTCTGCACAGCGAATCGCAGCACCTTAGACGACTGGGCCACCCGTGTCCCCCAAGCTGAGCAGAAGGGAGGACGCCAACAGGAGACCAATATGCACACACATGAACAGCAAGTGCTTGGGACATTGAAGACGAATTACAACACCAATGTGTTGTCAAGATTCTTTATTGAGTAATGCAGGCCACTTGGCCCAGAGTACAATACCTTTAGGCCAAATTTATTTGTGGGTCTTACACTTATTCAATGATATGTGACGTATTACGTAATACATTATATATATTTTAAAACTTTAATTTGCATACATTTCTCTTCAGAATCAAAGCAAAACCTTTGATTGTTGAATGTGTTGTGGAGGACATTAGTTCAATTAATTTCTGAAGAAAAGGATGCTTATGGTAATATTGTGGAATGAGAGTACTTCTACTTTGCTTATAATATGAACAGACCAGAACAACATGGAACTCGTCCTCAACAACTAATTGATCACAATGGTAACAGTATATAGCAGCAGCTGGTCAATATTAGATTTCGCCTAATTTTCACAATACCGCAGGTTTTGTATATTTAAACTAATAGATACAGTGCGAATCGTAGCTGAAACACAGATCAAATCTTCATCTTAGATACCTGCTGTGATATTCTTCTCTGACGCTAGTAATGAGGTGAAATAATTATAAAGTGACAGGAAATCTAAGCTTCTAATTTTTTAAAGCCATTTCTGTGTATTTTTATCTACACATCTCTGTTTAATAAAGCGACTAACCCTGTCCATATCCAAAGGAAATATCTGCATACAGCAGAGTCGATTGTAAGATTCCGACTTATCATGAGCATGTGTTTATGAATCACTATCAAATAGTGATGATACCAGGGGTGCGCGAAAAGTTGAGCGCATGTCTGTCCCACCGGCGGCAACCGTCACAAACACATTCAAAGGCAAGTCAATTGTTCACCTGAATGTTGGAACCTTGATCAAACAACTTCTGAGTAAGAGTCGTAAGACGCTCTTTGACATGTTGGTAGAAAGAGCATGCTCGATTGTATCTCAAATGTTGTGAAATGTGAACACCAGAGGCTGGAGCTGCTACCATTTGCTCGACATGAAGGGAAAGTTGACTGTTGGAAAGTTGAATTCATCCCTCTTGTCATGCAGTCTGGTGGAGAGTGTTTTAATTTGTCACTCGGAATCTTTATGCATAGATCTACATATGAAACAGATGAGGCGGTCTCGCTGGTCTGTTTTTCTAGTTCAAGTGGGTAAATTTGTGGAAGGGAATCGGCAATTTGATTGTTATTGAACGATATCAGATCAACGATGTACCTGAAGCTTAAGGTTAAACCAATCTGAACAGAAATGCCGATATCATATGAATAAAGAAACAGATCCGCAAGAAGGGGAGCACAATTGATGCCCATGGGGGATGCCTAATTCTTGCCTGAATGTCTTACCCAAAACTTTTACGTAGATGTTATCATTTTTCACAAAATGTCCTGAAAAAGATACGCAACTGTATCTGTGGTCACCACGTTTTGTAAAAATAGCCCCATGGATCAAGGAATGAAGGTTTTCCTTAAGTTTGTCATGTGGGATGGTGATGTACAAATGGTTCGACAGAATGGAACTTGGTTCTTTTCTGAGATTGCAAACAGTCAGTAAATCTGTTGAGTTTTTGAGAATCCACATGGTATTTCACTTGTCTCAAATACTTTCTGTGAATATGAAGAAAGTCCTTTCTTGATTGTATCAAGGATTATGGTAAGTTTTTGAGACAGGGATTAGTGGGTACATTTGCTTGACCCATCGATACATCTCTCTTTCTGCGGATTTTTATGGAGCTTTGGAATCTAGTACACAAGAGGAATTGACATGTCTTCAGGCTTTAGAGTCAAGTCAAAATGTGGTACTGATTTATGTAGTGATGCTTACATACAATGGTTATGTTATTTGAGGCCTTGTCAGTGGGAATAACTACAAAAATTTCATGTAGGACAGCCAGACTTTGGATGACAGGAAGGTTGGGACAGAATGAGTTTATTCCAATTCCGTTTCCTCCTTTTAGTTTTGCGCATTGTACCAATGACAACATGTTTAAACGTAGTTATGAAGCCCTTAGTATTTTCACAATCTTTTCCAATCCAGACCTAAGCGAAACCTGTTTGAAATAATAACACCCTGACATGTGAAGCCCTACGTGAGGCGCCAAACGCAACATGTGATTTTAACATTTTACAACAGGCGTGGGAGTAACACTTTCATACGAATAAGTCTACACCAATATGTAAAACGCCTACGAAAATACTTTATACAACTTCGCCCAAAAAGGCACTTGTACGTGCTCGTTTCAAAACTCTTTTAAGAATTAACTTTGCATTTTTTCTATAGAAAATCGAGTATGTATACCCCCAATTTCTCTACCAAACGTTTAGAATTGGTGCAATGTTTGAATCACTTAAAGCAACAATTGTGTTCAAAGATATATCTGGGTAAGTTTTCATTAGTTGAAATAACGGAAAACACGACTTTTTTATCGTAATGAAATAGTGTAACACCAGATTAACCTAAAAGATAATATAATGCTCAGATATTTATAATATGAAATTACTGACATTTCTACAGATTTATAAAATAAATGTTACCCTAAAAGATAACATAATGCTTAGATATTTATAATGTGAAATTACTGACATTTCTACAGATTTATAATAAATGTAAACCGCACCACTGGCTACGACGTCTACACATCTCCACCTGCTGATCCTCCCCATCTCCATCTGCTGATCCTCCACATCTGCACCACTGGCTACGACGTCTACACATCTCCGTCTGCTGATCCTGTGTAGCACCACTGGCTACGACGTCTACACATCTCCATCTGCTGATCCTGTGTAGCACCACTGGCTACGACGTCTACACATCTCCACCTGCTGATCCTCCCCATCTCCATCTGCTGATCATCCACATCTGCACCACTGGCTACGACGTCTACACATCTCCATCTGCTGATCCTGTGTAGCACCACTGGCTACGACATCTACACATCTCCATCTGCTGATCCTCCCCATCTGCACCACTGGCTACGACATCTACACATCTCCATCTGCTGATCCTCGACATCTGCACCACTGGCTACGACATCTACACATCTCCATCTGCTGATCCTCCACACCTGCACCACTGGCTACGACATCTACACATCTCCATCTGCTGATCCTCCACATCTGCACCACTGGCTACGACATCTACACATCTCCATCTGCTGATCCTCCACATCTGCACCACTGGCTGCGACATCTACACATCTCCATCTGCTGATCCTCCACATCTGCACCACTGGCTACGACATCTACACATCTCCATCTGCTGATCCTCCACATCTGCACCACTGGCTGCGACATCTACACATCTCCATCTGCTGATCCTCCACATCTGCACCACTGGCTACGATTTCTACACATCTCCATCTGCTGATCCTCCCCATCTGCACCACTGGCTACGACATCTACACATCTCCATCTGCTGATTCTCCACATCTGCACCACTGGCTACGACATCTACACATCTCCATCTGCTGATCCTCCCCATCTGCACCACTGGCTACGACGTCTACACATCTCCATCTGCTGATCCTCCACATCTCCATCTGCTGATCCTCCACATCTGCACCACTGGCTACGACATCTACACATCTCCATCTGCTGATCCTGTGTAGCACCACTGGCTACGACATCTACACATCTCCATCTGCTGATCCTCCCCATCTGCACCACTGGCTGCGACGTCTAAACATCTCCATCTGCTGATCCTCCACATCTGCACCACTGGCTACGACATCTACACATCTCCATCTGCTGATCCTGTGTAGCACCACTGGCTACGACATCTACATATCTCCGTCTGCTGATCCTCCCCATAGATGTCGTAGACAGTGGTGCAGGGTGGAAAATGCGCCTAAGTCCAACCCCTTGCACTCAAACTGGACTCGGATTTCAAACATGTCGCAGCGCATTGAAACTTTGCATGCGGGTAGACCTTGACCTCGCGACCACGTTTTCACCGTCCTTGACCCCAGATCACCTCTGTGAGCGGAGCTATTGGCTCCATTATCGAACTGTAACATTGGCTCCAAATCGAAAAATGTTTGGTTCAGAATGCTCCATTTGACCTAAGGAGTCGTCCTGCAAAGTCTGAGACTCCTATGACGATTTGACATTTTTGGTGGAAAATGCGCCCAAGTCGAACACCCATGCACTCAAATGGCACTCGGAAGTCAAACATGTGGCAGCGCATTGAAACTTTGCATCCGGGTAGACCTTGACCTCGCGGACAAGTTTTCGCCGTCCTTGACCCCAGATCACCTCTGTGAACGGAGCTATGGGCTCCATTATCCAACCGTAACATTGGCTCCAAATCGAAAACTGTTTCGTTCAGAATGCTCCATTTGACCTAAGGAGTCGTCCTGCAAAGTCTGAGACTCCTACGACGATTTGATATTTTTGGTCGAAATTGAGCTTAAGTCCAACAACACCCATGCACTCAAACGGCACTCGGATGTCAAACATGTGGCAGCGCAATGAAACTTTGCATGCGGGTAGACCTTGACCTCGCGGACACGTTTTCACCGTCCTTAATCCCAGATCACGGAGGTGAGCGGGGGTCAAGAACGGTGGAAACGTGACCTCCAGGTCAAGGTCTACCCGCATGCAAAATTTCAATGCACTACGACAACTTTCAAATCCGAGTGGCAGTTGAGTGCCAGGTGTTAGTCTTAGGCGCATATTCGACCAAAAACGTCAAATCGCCGTAGGAGTCTCAGACTTTGCAGGATGACTCCTTAGGTCACATGGAGCATACTGAACCGAACATTTTTCGATTTGGAGCCATTGTTAAA